TTGGTCACCACCTATGTCTGAGCAAAGACAGAAGAATCCACGGGATTGGATTTTGTGCACCGGCTCACCTTCCGGGAGCTGAGAGCAGAAGATCCTTTTCCTGGCAAAGCTCCCTGTGCGCCCGCCTGGATTGCACCAGCAGCATGCATCTCAACTGCACCTGCAAATATCCCCACCTAGGTCAGGAAGGGTTTAGAGAGTCCAGCCAGCACACATTCACCATTCTTTTCAGAAATATCAATTGCCAATTTCCTTGATGACTTCTCCCAGCTCATCGAGGCCAGAAAGGTCACTGTAAGTGCAAGTGTTAGAGAGCAGCCGTGGAGAACAGCAAGAGGGGACAGGACCTCACCCACCTGGAAAGACATCTATTTAGTTCACTCTCAATCCCAGCGCGGAAGAAGAAGTCTCATTCAGTGCTATTAGCCTTTAACACCTCTCTCTAATACTCACTAAACTTCCTTTTTAACAAAGAGAGAGCAGACTTCAGGCTCACAGGTAACAGTATTTAATTAGTATCTAATGACATTTTTGTGCTTATGTTGTATTCATTTCTGCGTTCTATTTGTGGCAGGTGATAATGAATTCTCATTTAATGTAGTATGATAATATTTCTGTTTATAATTTATTTAAGTGAAAATGAAAAGTGAGTCCATCTAAAAGTAGAGTCACAAGGATTTGGTAAAAAAGATGATATTTGAAGGACTGAGTTTAGTGAAAGTGTAGTTCTTCCACTTAGGATAAGCCTGTTTTCTGGTGACTTCTCTCAGTCAGATTTTTAATTTGTAAAATGGGATTAATAATAGTGCTTTATAGGACTCTTGTGAAGATTTAATAATAACAAAAATAAATAAATACAACTAATAAGTACTGAGCTTTTTCATGTGTTACTCCTTGAACTCTAACACAAGCTTTTTAACTGTAAAAGCCATGAGCTGAACAAAGATGCAACGTTGAATAAAATCAGGTAAGTGAATTAGAACTGTTATCATCACCATCACCATCATCACCACCACCACACCTTCACTGTCACCATCATGTCACCACCACCATCATCATCATCATCACCACCACACCATCATCACCATCATCACCATCATCATCATCACCACCATCATCACTATCAACGTCATCACCATCATCACCACCATCACCATCACTGTCATCATCACTGTCACCACCACCATCATCATCACCACCACCACCATCACCATCATCACCATCACCATCATCACCATCATCACCACCATCATCACTATAAACGTCATCAACATCATCATCGCCATCACCATCATCATCATTATCGCCACCACCATCACCATCATACCACCATCATCACCATCACCATCATATCAACACCATCACTATCATTATCACCGCCACCATCATCACTATCAACATCATCACCATCATCACCACCATCACCATCACCGTCATCATCATCACTGTCACCACCACCATCACCACCACCATCATCATCACCACCACCACCATCATCACCATCACCATCACCACCATCATCATCACCACCACCACCACCACCATCATCACCATCACCATCACCACCATCATCATCACCACCATCACCACCACCATCATCACCATCACCATCACCACCATCATCATCACCACCATCATCACCATCACCATCATCACCATCACCACCATCATCATCATCACCATCACCACCATCATCACCATCATCACCATCATCATCATCACCATCATCGTCACCATCATCGTCATCTCCATCGCCACCACCATCATCACCATCACCATCACCACCATCATCATCATCACCATCATCACCATCATCACCATCACCATCATCACCATCACCACCATCACCATCATCACCATCATCATCACCATCACCATCACCACCATCATCACCATCATCATCATCATCACCATCATCACCATCAACATCATCACCACCATCACCATCATCACTATCATCACCATCACCGTCACCATCACCACCATCACCACCATCATCATCATCACCATCATCATCATCATCATCATTACTATCATTATCATTATTGTCATCACCATCACTATCACCATTATCATCATCACCATCATTTTTTGAAAGTGATGATTTTTAAAAATTAGCCATGTTACCTCTCTGAGTCTCAGTTTCATCATCTGTAAAATGAACATAGTCTATAAAATGAGGATAGTACAGTGATGCTCTTATGACCAGTGCAGAGTAATTGGCACATAGAAGGATGTCAATAAGCAGCGTCTGTTTGTGATACCCTTAGTGACTGGGGCCAGGCCTCCTCCTTGGGTAAGATCAAAGTCCTAGATAACGTCTTTTTCCAAATTTCTAATTTTGCCATAAGCCAGACTGGTTCATCATGCTGTTTGCTTGAAGAATTGGGCCCTCACAATCTCTTTCTGATTGAATGAAAAATCCCTATTGGCGACTGTGATTCTTATTTCAAAGATGGAAACACATTTATAGGAAAATAAAAGATAGGAGAAACATTTTTCGTTTTTTTTAAGTTGACATAATAATTGTACATATTTATGGGGTACATAGTAGTGTTTCTATACATATGATGTATAGTTACAAGATCAGGGTAATTAGCGTATCCATCATCTTGAACAATGATCATTTCTTTGTGTTAGGAAGATTCAGTATCTTCCTTCTAGCTATTCGAATCTATATAATATATTATGGCTAACTACAGTCGTCCTGCAAGGCTATAGAATACTAGAACTTATTTCTCCTCTCTAGCTGTGATTTTTGTGTCCTTTAACAGCTCTGTCCCTAACCACCCCTCTGCCCCCTACCCTTCCCAGCCGTATGCTGTATTCTACTTTCTACCTTTATGAGATAAACTTTTTTTTAGCTTCCACATATGAATAAGAACATGTGATATTAGTCTTTCTGGGCTTGGCTTATTTCACTTAATGTCCTCCATTTCCATTTATGTTGCCATGAATGACAAGACTTCACGTTATTTTTGCCTGAATAGTATTCCATTGTGTATATATATCTCATTTTCTTTACCCGTTTGTCTGTTACTGGACTCCTAGGCTGATCCCCTCTCCTGGGTATGGTGAATAGTGTTACAGTAAACATGGGGTACAGATATCTCTTTGATGTACTGATTTCCTTTGGATAAATGCCCAGTAGTGGGATTGCTGAATCATATGATAGTTCTATCTCTAGTTTTTCGAGGAAAGTTCATACTGCTCTCCATAGTGGCTGGGCTAGTTTACATTCCCACTAACAGATTCTAAGAGGTCCCCCTTCTTTTTGCATCCTTGTCAGCACTTTTTTTTGCCATCCATACTACTGGAGTGAGATGATACCTCATTGTGGTTTTAATTTGCGTTTCCCTGATGATTAGTGATATTGAACATTTTTTCTTATATTTGTTAGTGAAAATGTTTTAAGGATGGCATTATTATGTGTCTTAAGAAATCATTTATCTTTATATGGATTAAAAAATTAGTGCTCAAACATGGTAGAAAATTTGGAAAATATAAAATCCTCTTACCCAGCGGTGATGGTTAATATTTGGCTATATTTCCCTTTTTATTATTATTATTTTTACAACAATTTAGAATGGTTCACACAGTTGACATCGTACTATGGTATCATTTTCTTCTTTTCTTTTTTCTTTTTTTTTTTTTTTTTTTTTTTTTTTTTTTTTTTTTTTTTTTTTTTTTTTTTTTTTTTTTTGAGACAGATTCTTGCTCTGTCACCCAGGCTGGAGTGCAGTGGCTCGATCTCGGCTCACTGCAACCTCTGCCTCCCAGGTTCAAGCGATTCTCCTGCCTCAGCCTCCCAAGCAGCTGGGACTACAGGCGTGTGCCACCATGCCCAGCTAATTTTTTTGTGTCTTAAGTACAGACGGGGTTTCACTGTGTTAGCCGGATGGTCTTGATCTCCTGACCTCATGATCTGCCCTCCTCAGCCTCCCAAAGTGCTGGGATTACAGGCGTGAGCTACCATTTCCAGTCCTATGATACCATTTTTTAATCTACTTTTCACTTAGCATTCAAGTGTAAGTATTGTGCATAGTATGGAAGGTCTTTGCTGCTAATTTTAAATGGCCTTATAATAGTCCACAGAGTGGCTCTCCATTGACTCTTTAACCTCGTCTGTTTCCTGTCTCCCCACATTCCAGCTACATGGGCTTGCTTGGCATTCCTTAACACACCATGCTCATTTCTGCCCCAGGACCTTTGCACTGCCTCCTCCTTCATCCTCTGAAGCACTCCCCTGGTTCTTTATGTGGAAGCTCCTTCTCACCTTTCATAGCTCAGTTTACATATCACATCTTCAGAGAGAGCCCACTCTGACCACCAGAGATATCAAACACTCCTTCAGTCTCTCTTGATCTCAGCACCCTGCTTTAGTTTCTCTTTGGCAGAGGGCAGAGAGAACTTTATAATTTTATGGCCGGAAATTATCTATTTGTTTACTTGTCTATTGTCACACTCCCTCATGTCACACTCCCTCCATGAGGACAGGCACTTTGTCTTGCTCATTGATTTCGGTGGCAGACCCAGCGCCTGTCGCGGTGGGAGCTCAGTAAGCATGTACGGGATAAGCAGATGGTTGGTTCGGTGGATGTGTGATTGGATGAGGGGTGGAAAGGATAGGCGTCTGGCTTGCAGGGGATGGTGTATGCCTGGGGACAGGTAAATGGATGCATGGGTGGGTGAATAAATCATAATTTTACTAAACATTCCCCAATTTCACATTTAGAATGCTTCTCCAGAATATTTTTAATTGCTTTGGAAAAGGAAGCAATGCAAATGGCGGAGGATTTGGATAAGCAAGTCCCTTGGGACACCTGACTTCTCCAGGGGCCATTGCTTAGGGTCCCAGGCCTGGACAGTTGTCCAAGTTCCCTGCTAAGGGGGCTGGCATGGAGACTGGGTGGGTGGTAAGATTCTCCGAGGTCCTCTGGGCATTCATTCACCCAGTGCCCAGGGCCTCACTGCCACGCCTCTGTTTTGTCCCCGTGCAGTGGGTCGGAAGCAGTTCATGAGGTTTGAGTGGGCAAATTACGCAGCTGAGGCCCTGGGCTGTGAGTATGAGGAGCTGAACACGGCCACCTTCAAGCACCACCTCCGACAGATCATCCAGCAAGTGACGTTTGGGCCAAGCCGATGGGGCCTCGAGGACGAGGAAGCCAGCTCAGGTACGTGGCTGCTGCCTCCCTGGGTGAGCCGGGCCCTCTCTGGGCAGCTCCTGGGGACACACCCGTAGAACTTTTTTTTTTTTTTTTTTTTATCAAGGATGTATTAAGAGCCTACTCTAGGCAGGCCTGTGTTAGGTGCAGGGGAAGCCATCATAGGTGGAAATGGACATGGTTTCTACTTGGTCAATGCTACTGTTCAAATGGCCGCCTCCATTCAGTGGTCAAGAAGGCTGCTGAAACCCAGGAGGCTTGCCGTGGGGAGGGGATGCCCTGGGCGGGGCCAGTGGACCAGTGCATTTCCATTGGATTTCATGTTTGTTGAGCACCTACTAGGTAGGGGAAAGACTAGTCTTTCTGTTTGAGGGATGGAAGTAAAGCCCCAGTGGCTGGAGCGAGGTGGAGAGATAGAAGTTGAGGGTGGAGAACAAGGTGTCGCCAGCTCTCTAAGGGTTTGTAAACCAGGGATTTTATTCTCAGACCCTTGGGAAGCTGTGGAGTGGCTTCAGCCGGGGGATGGCATGATTCGGCTTTAAGCTCAGCCTGGATGAAGGTTGGGGAGTGAGTGGGAGAAGGGAGACCCACTGGGAACCTATAGAAATCACCAGGTGATAGATGGTGGTGGGAAGTGCTAGTGGAGATGGGGCGCGGTGGACAGATTCAGGAGCTAGTCTACAAGCTGAGGTGATAGCATGGGCCCTAAGAGGAAGAGTGGGACCAGCAGTGGCTGCTGGGATTTTGGCCTGAGCAGCTGGAAGAATGGGGGCACTTTGAACTGCTGTGGGGAAATGCGGGAGGACTTTGTACTGTACCTGCAAGGATGTGATCTGCCGGGTCCTGCAGCCTCTGTGTGCCGTTGGGAGCGCTCTAAAAGCAGCTGTCCTTGAGACAGCAGAGTTTGGGATTAATGAGTAGAACCGTTGTGAGCTGTGGTTTGGGGCCCCACCTCTTCCACCTTCAGGACTTCGGCGTGAGGGCTGTCACTTGGACCCCATCGGCCCTCTGTGTTTCCTTTCAGGTCTGTGCTCTGGTGTGAGCTGTGATTTTCTTGAAGATTACCTCTCCTCTTTGACATGCACACACACATGCACAGAAGCATGCACACACATGCTTGCACACACCACATGTGCATACACACATGCACACACACATTTGCGCAGCACACTTTGTATGCACACGTGTGCACCGACACATGCCAATCACACACACATGAACACACACGTGTACAGACACTGACACACATATACTGCAAGCATGCATATGACACACACCACACACACAGAGGTATGCATGGCACACGTGTATGTGTAAACATGTGCACAAATATATACGACACAGGTACATGAGCACATGCCACACAATTACACACACATGCGCAGGAACATGCATAGACACAAGCACATGTATGCACACACATGCACCGGCACCAACAACACACACATGCTTAAGGACAGGCACATCACACACATACACAGACACATGCACTCACCACTTTGTGAGTCTGAGTTAACCTCTCAGGCTGAGGTCTCAAGAGCAGACATTAAGCAGGCAGGGGACCTTTGGGCTTAAGAGAGATGCTGGGAGGCTGCAGGTTGCCTAGCAACAGCCCAGGTTGGGGGTGGAGTCAGAGGAGGGGTGGGAAATGCTTCCGGGGCTGCAGTGGGCTGCCTGGAATGTACAAGCAGAATCACTCCTCCAGGCACTAGTGTGTACCAATTTGGAAATGGTATTTTCCATTCTTTAGATGGAACTAAAACTTAAGGGCCAGAATGTGTGATCTGACCCCTATGCTCCTCACTCTGCCTTGTCCCGTGCTCCTTAATCAAGGCTGGTGATTTTAAGGGGATGCACATATATGCATGCGTGTGTGTGTGTGTATGTGTGTGTGTGTGTGTGTTCAAGCAAAATCGAGTCCACAACTGGTAATTATAGTTTTTGAGCTTTGTATTCCTCCTAACTTTCTAGGGAGGCACTTTTTCAATCTCATTCAATATTCTTCATACCTGACTTTAAGCATTCCTTTGTACGGACAGACTATCAATTACCCAACCCATTTGCTATTGTTGGGCACGCAAGTCATTTCAACAAAGTGATTTTTGCCAATTTAATCAACAGTTGGGTGAATCTGTGTCCTCAGAAAGCTTTATTTCTTGGAATATTTTATTAGAATAAAAGCCTAGGAGTGAAATTATTAGGTCCCAGTATATGAACATTTTACGGCTTCTAATACAAAAATTGCCAAATTTCTCTTCAGAAAAAGAAAATAATAAACACGTACTGAGTGTCTATTATGTGCCAGACACTGGCAATTCAAAAATCAACAAACCCAGGGACAGCGCCTATCTTCAGGGCACTCCCAGCTTCATGAGGGAGACACAGGTTAATAAAATAACTAAGCTAGAAAGATTGTGCTATGGGAAGTGCTATTGGAAGCACCACAGAGCTGGGAATGGCCTAGTGGTGGTGGTAGTGGTAGTCAAGGAAGGCTTTCCCGTGGAGGTGACTTTTGGGCTAGCCCTGAGGGATGAGCAGAAGATCACTCTGGAGCAAAGGGCAGGTTACATGGGACCCTGTAGGCCCTGAGAGGGCACACTTAGGACACTTAGACTGAGAGGACACTAAGAACCTGGGGAAATAATTTCAGCATGGAAGGATGTGGAAAGAAAGGAAGGATTTTCTAAGATGGGTGGTCCCTGCCACTCTGTAGCGGTGTCCTGGGCCCCAGGCAAGATCCTGACCAAGGATGCTGATTCTGTCCTCTTTCCCAGGGCTCAAGATGACAGGCATGGAGTGTGTGGAGGGGATGGCCTCGGGCCTGTACCAGGAGCTCTTTGCGGCCATCGTCTCGCTCATCAACAGGTAAATGGGGCTTTTTCCTAGGCAGAAAGTTGGTCTCTTGCAGGTGCACGGATGAACCCACATACCGGGCAGTTGAGCCAAGTGGCAATGTTTGAGCTGGCAAGAGTGTTTCTAAAGTGAAGAGTGCTGGGTTTAACTTTCACCCTGGCCACCCACTGGCTGTGTGGCCGGTAAATCAGTTCACTTCTCTGATCTCCCCTTCCTCGTCTGTACAATAGCTCTCTCCCCTAGGGTTGCTGTGAAGATTAAAATAAGTAATGAATTTAAATAACTTCCTGGCCAGACATGGTGGCTCATGCCTGTCATCCCAGTACTTTGGGAGGCTGAAGCGGGTGGATCACCTGAGGTCAGCAGTTCAAGACCAGCCTGGCCAACATGGCGAAACCCCATCTCTACTAAAAAATGCAAATATTAGCCAGGCGTTGTGGCGCATGCCTGTAATCCCAGCTACTCAGGAGGCCGAGGCAGTGAGAATTGCTTGAACCCAGGAAGTGGCGGTCGCGGTGAGCCGGGATTTTACCACCGCACTCCAGCCTGGGTGACAGAGAGAGACTCTGTCACAAAACCAAGCAAGCTATTAAATAAAATAGTTTTTGTCAATTTCAATAGGTCTCGGAAGGAAGAAAAGGAGGGCCCAGACTTCACTTAGTAGTCAACTTGCTGGGTGACCTTAAGCGAGTCATTTTTTTTTTTTTTTTTTTTTTTTTTTTTTTTTACTTTGGGCCTGTGGGAGGCCCTTTAATTCCTTTAGTCCATATAGCTGTCCCTGGGATAAGCCTACTCGCCCCCATCCTCATTTAACAGTTGGGGAAAACCCTGCTCTTCCTAAGAGTGATTGTAAAAATACCAATAATGAAAGCTAAGCACTTTAGGTACCCACTAAGGGCCAGGGATCGCACCAATTGTCTAACTCGCTTTGCATCATGGAATACGGACATCAGCCCATTGTAAAGAGAAGGAGGCTGAAGCTTGAAGGGGTAGAGCCCAGATGCAAACACAATGCTGCATTCTCATCTCATCCCTTCAGTTTCCCTGAACAGCCCAGCGCATTGTTCTCATCCATGTATTTTTCAAAATTGTCTTGCTAGGGATGGGAGCAACATGGCAGACATTTGGAATGGGCCAGGACGTGCCTCTGAAGCGCCTCTTTGGGGCTGCACATCAGCGTCTGTTTTCCATCCTTATTAACAACGCACTGAGCCTAGGCTTGGAAACCCTTTAAGCAGTTTTTCAGAGGAGCTAATCCAGAGCCTAGGCAAAGGCTTGCCTTCCCCCTCTGTGAAAGCCGAAAGCATAATTAGGCTTCTGAAATCCTGTTAAAGGGATGAGGCTGGCGCGTAGCAACAGAGCAGCCGGATTTCTCCAAGTTGTCGTGGACACGGAATCAACTCCCTCTGACGCTGCTGAAGTCATTACCATCTGAGCCCACAGACATATTATTTAGAAACCAAGGGGATCAGGCGTGCTTAGAGAGGGGAGTACTGGGAGTAGTGAATGAACTGCTGGCGGAGGCAACTGCCTTCACCAGCGAAGGGCAGCTGCTATGAGGTTTTGGTTCTCGGAGGCCACATCTGTGAAATGGTGCGTGGATGATCAAAGTACCTACTACGGCATTTATAAGCACCTAGTAGGTGTCTAGCTTGCCTAGAATGAACCGACTTCATCTTCAGGCATGTCTATGAGGTGGCTGCTCTTACTATCCCTTATGATCCCCATTTTATACTTGGAAAAGCTTGGCAAACAGAATAACCAAGGTTCAAATAAGGACCCTCCAGAGCGCCTAGCTGATCATGCTCATGGTGAAGATAGCAGGTGGCATTTGCTGAGCACCAACCACGTGGTCAACTTATACTTTCACAGCGGGGGAAGCTTCTCACACCCAACCCTCACAAAAGCCCTCTGAGTTAGTCCCGCAGCCCTCATTAACCCTTTCATGGCTGAGACGGCAGAGGCTCAGAGAGGTTGGGCAACTCTCCCAAGACATACATCCCCTCTGTCACAGTGCAAGGACTGAGCCCACATGTGACTGGCTCCAAAGTCTTTTAACTCCTGGATTTTGATGTGAATCATCCCTACCCCGAGAATTTCATAAACTGATGTATCAAATAAAATAGTTTTTCTATTTCAATAGATCTCCGAAGGAAGGAAAGGAGGGCCTAGACTTCACTTGGTAGTCAATTTGCTGGGTGACATTAAGCTAGTCTTTTTTTTTTTTTTTTTTTTTTTTTTTTTTTTTTTTTTACTTTGGGCCTGTGGGAGGCCCTTTAATTCCTTTAGTCCATATAGCTGTCCCTGGGATAAGCCTACTCACAACCATCCTCATTTGACGTTTGGGGAAACCCCTGCTCAGAGAGGTTAAGTAGCTTGCCTGAGGTCACACAGCCTGTAAGAGGTGAGCTTGGTTTTGAAATCAGTTCTGCTGGAGGCTTGGATCAGTGGGCTGCTGGACTCCACGCCATCTCAGACATTCCGCCTCTCCCTTCTCTCCCTAGGTCCTTCTCCTCCCACCATCTCTCCATGGCCTCCATTATGGTGGTGGACTCTCCAGGCTTCCAGAACCCCCGGCACCAGGGCAAGGACCGGGCGGCCACCTTCGAGGAGCTGTGCCACAACTATGCCCACGAGCGCCTGCAGCTGCTCTTCTACCAGCGGACCTTTGTCTCCACGCTGGAGCGATATCGAGAGGTAGGCGGGGGCTGCAGCAGGGCCTTCGCCAGAGCTTCGTGGAGGATGCGAGGTCAGACGGGAAGGGGTGGGATTCCCATTCCGCAGTAGCCTGCAGCTTCACCCTGCTCAAGTCACCAGGGAACAAAGCCCTTTCCCCAGGCCTGGCTCCCCAGACCTCTGCTGCTCCCTCCCCAGCCCAGCCTTCCTCCCCGCCCCCCACTGCCTCCTGAACCCCACACCCAAAAGCACCAAGGAACTTGGGCTTCCCCAGGCCTTGCTTCCACAGCTGTCCCTTCTTTGGGATGTCTGCTTCATCCTCTCCCACTTCACTCAAGTGAAAGGCGCCTCTAAGAGTCAGTCTGCATCTCCCCAAGTGAGGAATGCCCTTGACGTCTGTGGGCAGGTGGAAGCAGTGGGCTCCACACCCCTCTGCCACACAGTATGGTGATTCTCACAAAGCTGAAGTTGCCTGCTCCCCATGACTCAGCAATTCCTCTTCTAGGAGGCAGCGGAGAGAAACTGTGTGTGTACCAGGAAGCGTGTTCAGGCATGATCCTGCCAGCCCTTCTTTTCTCATTAAAAAAAAAGTTTAAATTGAAATATAAGGCTGGGAGTGGTGGCTCACGCCTGTAATGCCAGCACTTTGGGAGGCCAAGGCAGGTGGATCACCTGAGGTCAGGAGTTCGAGACCAGCTTGACTAACATAGTGAAATCCCATCTCTACTAAAAATAGAAAAATTAGCCGGGTGCAGTGGTGTGAGCCTGTAATCCCAGCTACTTGGGAGGCTGGGACAGGAGAATCGCTTGAACCCAGGAGGTGGAGGTTGTGGTGAGCCGAGATTGCACCACTGCACTCCAGCCTGAGTAACAAAGAGACTCCATCTCAGAAAAAAAAAAAGGAAATATAACATTTACAAAGTGCATAAATCAGAAGCGTATAGTGCAATGAACTTACCTAAATGCACATACATGTATCTCTACCACCCAGGTGAAAATGAGAATGCCTCAGTTCCCTATATGACTCACACCTTCTTTCCTGAAGGTGTGACCACCTTCACTCCAACAAGTGCTGCTGCCAAAATGTTAGAAACGGCCATATTGTTCATCAGTAGAATAATTTGGAATAATGGGTACTGAAGTTATAGTTATTTCTTTGGTTGGCAATGAAAATAAAGCACCAACATAAATGAATCTCAAACAGATGATTCTGATGATACCTGAGGTCTGATTCTAACTCTGTTACTTATTGGCTGTGTGGCCTTAGAAATGGCACTCACTCCTGACCCTCAATGTTTTTACATGGAAAACAGAGATAATAATGCTTTTGTGTCATTTATGCTTCTCCACAATAATGCTGCATAATAAATTACCTCCAAATGTAGTGGCTTAGAAAAAAACCTTTGGTTGTTGCTCCCAAGTGTCTGGATGGCCTGGGCAGCTCTCTTGGTCTGGGATGGTTCTTGAGCTTGTGTTCAGATTCAGGTGTAGGTTGGGGTAGGTGGCTCTGATGATCTTGGCAGGGCTCTCTCATGTCTGGGATCAGCTGGCTATGAGCGGATCCAGGCAGGCCTTGCCTGGGTTAACCGTGTCCCTGCTTCACAAATGTCTCATCCTCCAGCAGGCTAGTCTGGGCTTCCCTCAGAGTGCTGGGCAGGGTTCCAAGAGAGCAAGCAGAAGCGTGCGGGGGACCTTGAGACCTAGACTTGGTACTTGTACAAAGTTACTTCCACTGTATTCTGTCAGTCACAACAGGTCTAAGGCTGAGCATGGATTCAAGGGGTAGGAAAACAGGCTCCACTCCTTGATGGAGACACTACAGTGTCACTCTGCAAAGTATGGATATAGGGAAGGGCAGAGAACCGGGATTGTTTTATGAAGATGATTACCATGCTCCCCAGAGGAGCTATTTTGAGCATTTAATGAACAAGAATGAGGAGTGCCTCATTTATATTAGTCCTTGAGTGTATGGTAACAGCTATTCTACTTTTCCCATAACATTTCACTTATTTCTCATTATCAAAGTAATACGTTTTAAATTAAAACACTGGAAAGTTCCTATAAGTACAAAGAAACTAAAGTTACAATTTCCTTTAGCCCTTCCATCCAGAGGTAACCACTGATACCATTCTCTCTCTCTCTTATTTTTCCTTTTTTAAAATTATTTTCCCTTTATTATATTTTCTGTGGATTTTGGATCTTCCTGTACACATAATTTGCCATCTGTCATTTTCTTCACAGTATTACATTATTCATGTCACCTCCCTCCACTTACAAATCTTAGTAAACCTGCATGCAGTGGTTAGATCTGATGGCATTCCCTCTTCTATGGATATCTGGGTGGTTTCTAAGTACAAAGCTTTATAAACAATACTGTGATGAACATCTTTGTCCACAGCATTTTCTGAACATTTCTGGTGACTTGTTAAAATTTTTTATTTTTTAGGCAGAGGTTCGCTGTTGTTGCCCAGGCTAGAGTGCGGTGATGTGATCTTGGCTCACGGCAACCCCTGTCTCCCGGGTTCAAGTGATTGTCCTGCCTCAGCCTCCCAAATAGCTGGGATTACAGACACCCACCACCACGCCCAGCTAATTTGTGTATTTTTGGTAGAGACAGGGTTTCACTATGTTGGCCAGGTTGGTCTGGAACTCCTGACCTGAGGTGATCCGCCTATCTTGGCCTTCCAAAGTGCTTGGATTACAGGCAAGAGCCACCATGCGTGGCTTCTGGTGACATTTTTGTGGCAATTGTTATTTTCCATAGTTTACACTTGTTCCCTCCAGCACTGAACACGCAGCCTAGCACTCATTAGGTTCTCAGTAAATATTTTAAAAGTTTGGACTGAGTTGTCAGTTCCTGATAAAGCTCTCAGCATGATGGCTGACACCTTGCATGATGAACAATCGCAGAATGTTATTGGAGCATTGATTTACAATCTTTCTTCTCACTCAAAGGCTAAAAGGTGATGAGCAAACAATCAACCTCATTAGCAACTGAAAAAATTAATTAAACAGACATTTCTCCAAAGACTTAGAAAGGTACACGAAAAGATGCTCACCATCCCAAATCGTAAGAGAAATGCAAATCCAAACCACATTGAGATGTCACCTCTCACACATTCTAATGGCTACTAAAAAAATAATCAGAAAAGAACAAGTGTTGGGGTGATGTGGAGAAATGGGAATTCCCACATGACAGCAATTCTATGTCTGGGTATATGCTCAAAAGAATTGAAATCAGGGACTCAGTTCGTATTTGTGCACCAAACTGCAAAGCAACGTTTTTCCCAATAGCTGAAAGGCAGAAGCAACCCACGTGTGGATTGCCATTGGCAGGCGATGGACAAGCAAAGTGAGATCCGCATATTACAAGATACGCACTTACAAGGAAGTATTATTCAGCCTTCAAAAGGAAGGAAATTCTGACAAAATGGTACAGCGTGGATGAATCCTGAGGACGTCGTGCTAAGTTACATAAGTCAGACATAAAAGGACAAATACTGTATGATTTCACTTACATAAGCTACTTAGAATAGTCAAGATCAGAGGCACAGAAAGTAGGATGCTGGGGGAGGGGGAACTAGGGAGTTGTGTCTCATGGGTACGGAGGTTCTGTTTCAAAAGATGAAGAACGTTCTGGAGATGGTTGGGGGTGATGGCTACACAACATGAATATACCTAATACCACTGAACTATATACTTAAAATGGGTAAATGGTAAACTTTACACTATGTATCTTTTGCCAAAATGTTAAATACAATTTTTTTAAAGGGCCAGGAGGTGATGGAAGCCTCTCTGCTTTTTCCTTCTTCAAGTTTTCTTCCCCCTTCTGCTCACTAAAAGAGCTAACTTTTAAATCCTATGGTTTTCCAGGAAGGTGTTCCTGTGCAGTTTGACCTCCCAGACCCCTCCCCAGGGGCCACTGTGGCTGTCGTGGATCAGAATCCCTCTCAGGTAACATGGGGTCCAGCCAACCCAGGCTTGCAGACACCAGTTAGCCATACTGAAATGCTAGCGGATTTGAGTCTGGGGTCTGCTAGTTGTTAATGCCGTCTGCACCTCGAGCCACCCCAGGCTCATTGGGAATGTGGATGCCTGGGACCCACCCTCAGATTCTGTGTGGATTGGTCTGGGAGTGTGGCCTGAACGGTGGAGATTTCAGTGTCCTCAGGTTGAGAACCACTGCTCTCCTTTATGTCTGAGTCTATGTCTTAGAATAGACTCATTCCTGGGAGCCTGAGGCCTGAGTCAAAGGGAGCTCAGGGCTCATGGCCAGAGGCCTCCAGCCACGCTGGCCTGGAAAGGTCAGGTGTTTGGATGAAGGTGCTGTGCCCTGCAGAGACTGGGGACTTTGGGGACTGGAGAACAGGGGCATGTTTGGTCCAGGCCCCTGAACTCATGTGGGGACAGACAGGTGTTAGTTTGAGGTACACTGAGTCTTTACCTCACTCTCTCCATCCCTAGAACTCACTTTGCTACCCCAGATCTGCACCTCTGCTCAACTCAGAACTGCCCGTGACAATTTCACTTGATTTTTTTTCTTCTTCTTCTTCACATTTTATTTAGTACAAACGTGCTTGGGCCATAGACCCTGCCATGCTTGGGTCCAATCTTGGTGACCTTGGGCGTGTTGCTTCACCTCTCTGAGCCTCAGTTTCCTCATGTCCAGAATGGGGATGCTACTTTCTCTGGGCTGCTGTGAACATCAATGAGATATTGCACATAAGGCACCTGGCATGATGCTTGGCACACAGGAGGTGCCTTGCAGGTGGCATCTCTCCTGGCATCTGACACTGCAGGCTGCCCGTGTCCTTTTCTTCCTTCCTTGTCTTCTGCTGACCAGGGGCTTGCGGGCTTTCTCTTGGCATGTAGTGGGCTGCACCCATCATTGCAAAGCCCTCTCCTGTGTAAGCCCGGCTGGCTGGTCTCAGTGTGTTCTTCTGGCTGGCATCTGTCTGGTTCATTCCCTTCCACGCTGTGCTTCCTCGCCTGTGTGTCTCCTAGGAAAGAGCGGGTCTGAAGGGCTGATTTAACAGTGTTGGCTGGGAAGCCGGGGTAGTGTCCAGGTCCTGTGTCTGCAAACAGACATCTTCTTTTTTTGAGATGGAGTGTCACTGTGTCACGCAGGCTGGAGTGCAGTGACACGATCTTGGCTCACTGCAACTTCTGCCTCCCGGATTCAAGTGATTCTCATGCCTCAGCCTCCTGAGTAGCTGGGATTACAGGCATGTACCACCATGCTCAGCCTCAACAGCTGTTTTTGAGGGCCTTCTGAGTGTGGGCTGGCTATCAGTTTCAGCCCCAATAAAGAAGTTTATTGGTCTCCTTTATGTCTGAGTCTGTGTCTTATCCCAAGATCAAGGATGCCTGGAATCTAATTCCAGCTCTGCGTCTTTGACTCTCCGTCTGTGAGATCCTGGATGTGCCTCTTCCCGTCTCTGGGCCTCTGATGGATGCGGATTCCTCAGTCAGGGTGACCAACTGTCCTAGTTTGCATAGGACTTTCCCAGCTTTAGCACTGAAAGTTTCATGTCCCGGGCACAGTAGGACAGTTGGTCACTGGGCACATTGCATTTCCTCTATGACTGCTTCGTGGCCTTCTGGATTGTGTCAACTCCTTGTGAGCCCTCGGAGAGGCCCTTTAAACTCCCCAGGCTTCTCTCAGCTTCCCGTATGCAAAACTACACGGGTGACTAGATGTCCTCTGAAGCTTGCGTCTAGATTTAAAATTCTATGTCTGTGCGATCGAATCAAGTTCACCTTCTTCTCTGAAATGTTCTTTGAGTGCTTGTTGCTTTTTTTTTTTTTTTGCTATAAAAGTCAGAGATCAAGCAGGTCACTTTTACATGAATTAGTTCATGTGCCTAATTCCTAAATTCCACACATCCTTTGTTTTTTTTTTTTTTTTTTTTTGCCCCAAGATTTTAGTTAAAAAAATACAAAGACTTCTTAGAAGAAATGATGCAGACAGAATTAATCCTTTCTTGTCTGGTTGTACACAAATAGGCCAGCTGCCTGTATATATCTAGAAATGTGTAATTTCCAGAGGGTTCCCCTTGTTAAATGCTCACCACAGCCCTCCAAGGAAGGTATTTTTGGTCTCCATTAGACAGGAGGAAACAAGGCTCAGAGAGGTGTAGTAAGTTGCCCAAGGTCACACAGGACGTGAGGACAGAGGCAGGATTCGGACAGCTTGCTAATGAGAAGTTGCTGGAGTTTCACGGCTTCAACACAGAGAGTCTGGGGTGAATGGGAGCATGGTTTTGGGTAGGCAGATTCTGAGTCCTGACGCTTGGGACTTGGAGGTCCCCATTTTCTATCCACGGGAAAAAAGCCCAAGACAGGCCTCTGATGGGGATCAGGGCCTCTCAGTGAACCTCGGGTCTCCTGCCAGGTCCGCTTACCAGCTGGAGGAGGTGCTCAAGATGCCAGAGGCCTTTTCTGGGTCTTGGATGAGGAAGTCCGAGTAGAGGGCTCCAGTGACAGTGTGGTGCTCGAGCGTCTGTGTGCCGCCTTCGAGAAGAAAGCAGCTGGGACGGAAGGTAAGCAAGCAAGGGGCTGGGGATGGGGGCTGAGTCCAGCCTGGGTGTTGGAATCTGTCCTTCTCCGCTGTAGCAAAAGCCCTGAGAGGGCATGCACAGAGGCTCCAGTGCACAGAGGTGAATGTGCATGAACCTGTGTGTGCTTTCATTCATTCCAGTATTCAACGAATACGCTGGGCAGCCACTATGTGCTGGGTACTGTTCTACGTGGTGGCAGACCAGCCTGGAGTGGGCCATGTCCTCAGGGGGAAGAAATAAACTCACGGCCAAGCGCATGCGTGCACAGGGGGCCTGTAACTACACTCCGATGGGGCACATCTCACTTCGCTGGTGGCCAGTGGGAGACGCATGCAGATGAATCTAACGGAGCCAGGAACACGATGCGGGACAGGGTTGGGGATGTTGCCTCAGCTCAGACTGCAGCGGCCCTGGTTGGTCAATCAAAGGTCTTAACCCTAGATCAACAAGAAGCCATGAAGGATTCTAGACAGTGGGAGGCATGGTGAGCATCATGTTCTGGAAAGTTCTGCAAGGTTGCAGTGAGAGGATATGGTAGGAAGGCAGGTGGCCAGGATGAGACAGGAGCTGGGCTGCCCCAGGAGGTAGAAGCCCCTGGAGGTGTTTTGCAGGTAAAGTCCATAGCGCTTGTGGGAGTTGAATTGGTGGAAGGGGAAGCAAGAGGGGAGATGGAGCCCCGAAACCAGAACAAAGTGATCATGAGATTTGGTATCCACAGGCTCCAAGGTCAAGCCCAACTGTTTTCCCCTGCGTGATGCTGGGCAAACCTCTTGTAGTCTTAGTTGATGTGCTTTTAAAATGGGGAATGAAGTCATCCCTGACTTCTTTCTGCTTAGAATTTCTGCTACAATAATTGGGTAAGGTTATGTGCGTGCAGAGCTTTGTCACCAGGGAGAAGGTGTTGCAGGTTTCTTGATGAGGATGTGGATGCTGATGGTGTTGGAGAACGTGATTCTGGGATGGGGAGTGTTGCCTGTACTTGACTCAGGGCCACATACTCAGCTTTCTGTATGTCTTCTGGAAGGATTCTGTCCCACACTTGGAGATACAGATTCTTCTTCCCAAGCTGAGCTCCAGAAATGCTTGTGCAAGGTCATCCAGAGGAGAAGGATCAAAAGGCAGATTCAAAACATGGTTTGTCTGGATCTGAGTCTCCTGTGAGCCCCACACTGCCAGGCACTTAAGAAGGCAAATGTACTGGCTGGACACTGTGGTTTACGCCTGTAATCCCCGCCCTTCGAGAGGCCAAGGCAGGTGGATCACCTGAGGTCAGGAGTTTGAGACCTGCCTGACCAACATGTTGAAACCCCATCTCTACTAAAAATACAAAAAAACTAGCTAGGCATGATGGTGTATGCCTATAGTTCCAGCTACTTGGGAAGTTGAGGCAGGAGAATCTCTTGAACCCGGGGGGTGGAAGTTGCAATGAGCCAAGATCACACCATTGCACTCCAGCCTGGACAAGAGTGAAACTCCATCTCAAAAAAAAAAAAAAAAAAAAAAAAAAAAAAAAAAGAAAAAAAAAAAACAATACTAAAAAAAAAAAAAAAAAAAAAAAAGGCAAATGTACTTATTGATCTATTGACCTTATCAGTCCCAGCTGTCTTTGGGGCCAGGATGTGTGTGCATTCATTCCTTGGTCCATTCAGAAAACATGGATGGAGCACTTAATACATGGCAGCCACTGTCCTAGCCCAGGAGATGCGTCAGGGAACAAAACACACATCTTCACCCACATGGGACTGCCCTTCCAGCAGAGAAGAGGGACAGTCAGGCAGGTGCATCTGAAAGGGGGAGACTGAGGACCGTGACTCTGGTTGAGGTCACTGAGGGAATGAGGTTTGGCAGGGAAGATGTCCAAGGACTAGGTTCTGGGACTTTCCTATGTCAAGGTGTCAAGGACAAGGCAAGCAGCCAGCACAGGATACTGAGGTGTGGCCAGGGAGGCAGGAGGGAAAGCCAGGAGAATATGACTCCCTGGAAGCCACAGGAGGAGGGAGGGATTGACCTTCCCAAATGCAGCTAAAAGGTCAAGTGAGGTGTGGGTTGAAGAATGACCACTGGGCTTGGCCATGTTGAAGTCATTGGAGACGTAGACAGATGCATCTTGCTGGAGGATTTGGGGGTGATTGTCCAGCTGGAACAGTTTATAAGAAGTTGGGGGGAAAGCCACCATCCACTGAATGAGTGCCGGCTGAAGTTTCCACCCTGTGGTGACCAGCAGAGGCCTCTGTCCGAGACATTCATGGTGGATTCCTGTGCTCACATCAGGACAGGATTTCCGAAGCAGTGAAGCAGGAGCGTCTGATGCCTCCTGCCTCTCTCCCTGGAGCAAGCTCAGAGTGCGAATTCCTAAATTATTCCCAGAGATCTTGGCTCTGCCAGTGACTGGCACAGCACTGAATTCTCTGCCTGGCATGGAGGGACACTGCCAGGTGTTCTGGGGACCCATGAAAATGTTGTTTTTAATTTTTAAATTGTTTTAAATTTTAAGTTCAGGGGTACACGTGCAGGTTGTGCAGGTTTGTTACATAGATAAACGCCTGCCATGGTGATTTACTGCACAGATCGCCCCATCACCCAGGTATTAAGGCCAGCATCCATTAGCTGTTCTTCCTGATGCTCTCCCTTCTCACCCCTCCAGGTGCCCAGTGTTTGTTGTTCCCTCCCAGAAAACGTTATAACTTCTGGGAAGGAAAAGAACTTTTAAGTCAAGTGCAATTCTTTAATATATGTCTATATGATATATG